AGAGAGAGAGAGAGAGAGAGAAGAGAGAGAGAGAGAGAGAGAAGAGAGAGAGAGAGAGAGAGAGAGAGAGAGAGAGAGAGAGAGAGAGAGAGAGAGAGAGAGAGAAGAGAGAGAGAGAGGAGAGAGAGAAGAGAAAGGGGGAGAAAGAGGGAGGGATCGATGGGAGGGGGGAGTGAGGAGAGAGAGGAACGAAGAGAAAGAGAGAAGAGAAAAAAAGAAAGAGAAAGAGGAGAGAGAAAGAGAGAGAGAGAAAAGAGAGAGAGAGAGAGAGAGAAGAGGGGGAGAAAAGAGGGAGGATCGAGTGGAGGGAGGTGAGGAAGGGAGGGAGGGGAGGGGGAGGGAGGGAGAGAAAAAAAGAAGAAGAAAGAGAGAGAGGGGAGAAAAGAAAGAGAGAATGAGAGAGAGAGAGAGAGAGAAGAGAGAGATAAGAGCGCGAAGAGAGAGAGAGAGAGAGAGAGAGGAGAGAGAGAGAGAAGAGGAGAGAGAGAGAGAGAGAGAGAAGAGAGAGAGAGAGAGAGAGATGGCAAAGTGACCGGGTTCAGCTAACCCCGGGGTGCCTTTCAGGTCCTCAGCAGGGACCGCGGTCCGCCGGAACCAGCGGCGCGGTCAGACCCCGTCTCACGCCGGGAGTAACACGGATCGACCGCATGACTCCTCTCCGGGGAGGGAGGGGTAGCTACTGAGGACGTGTAGCATAAACAAATGGCCAGACTACTGCTGTGAGTCATCGCTCACTATCGCACTTGATGGACAGCGGAAGCGGCGCTGAGAGTATCCAGACCCGCCACTGGACTACAGTCAGCGCGATGGCCGCGTGGACTTCCTGGTCACCAAACTGGTCTGATCGCGCGCGTGTCCGCCCGCGCCGGCGCGGGCGTTCGACATTGGATGACCTCAGCACAGAGATGTGGCATGAGGCGAGCATTACTCGCCGGGCGCCGCGTCACTCGTGAGCCGCTCGTGAGTGAGGCGGAACATTCCGCGGTCGCTCCGTCCGGCTAACTCGGCTCGGAGCCGGCGGTGCCAGTTCGCCGAGGCCAATACAGCCGGCGATCGCGATCAGCGGTCACGCGCTGACCGGCCGGCCGGCTGGTCTTCACCCGCGCCGATGTCCGAGGCCAATACAGCCAGCGATCGCGATCAGCGGTCACGCGCTGGCCGGCCGGCTGGTCTTCACCCGCGCCGGTGTCCGAAGGCAATACAACCGGCGATCCCGATCACAGGTCACGCGCCGGCCGGCTGACTTCACTCGCGCCGGCGCCCGAGCACGCCATAGGCCGCCGTCAGCGCCGCCGTGTCGTGCCCGTCGTGGCGGCGTCGGTGCGGCTGCGCGTGCACCGGCGCCGCCATCTGCATATCTGGCCGCGACACTAGACACGGGCCGCCACGAGCGGACGCCGCGTGGGCGCGGGAGACGGCTTCATCGGAACGAGCTGCTGCGACAGCCGACATCAGACGCCATCAGATCATGGGCGACTGGCCATGGCAGCCGGTCCGACCGCCCAGCCGCCGCCGCACGCGTGGCGGCGCAGTCGGACCGGTCACTCGGCGGCGGCGCACGGAGCGCGGCCGAGGTGCCGGGAGAGTGCCGGCGCCGGGGCCGGCCGGTGAGATGGGCGCCGGCGCGGCCGACCTATACGCACCGGCCGCCAGCCTCATCTGCATGATGAGTCCGCACCGGCGCGGTGCAGCGAGCTGACCGTTACCGGACGCTACACATGGCGTGCGCGTGTATTCATGAGCGGCGAGGAGAGGACTGGGACCGGCGGCGCGTGCAGGGACGGCCACCGCTGCCGGCTGTAGGCGGACGACAGCGCCGATAGAATACGTTTCCCGGACCCACGGGCGAGGCGACCACCCCGCACACGCCGAGACGAGGCGAATCCGTCGTCCAACACGCCGACGCGCCGGCCGGGCCACGGCGTTCGATGCCATGTACTCGGGGACGCGACTAGCTGGATCAGCAGGCCCGTGCCGAGACCGTTTGGTTCCGGATGTGTCGTGCGTCGCGGGACGGCGGTACTCACATCTGTTCTGCAGCACGTCGCCGTTCCGGTAGATCAGGTGACCGTCCTCGTCATCCGCCACCGACGGCTCGTGCGAGTTCTGCCGAACACACACATTTGGCGATGAGCCAGCGCGCAGGACGAGTGCGTGTGCGGCGCCAGGTATAACGTGACACGGACCGTGAGTGCAGCGCAGCAGCTGCGATTGGCCAGTGACAATAGTTCAGGCAACGCACATCGTGCCTTCTTGGCGCGGGGACAGACAAAGAACACGCGCACACTCTCAGTATCCCACCAGTGTAAACACAACGTAGCACAAAACGGTGAGCGTAAACGACGCCCCTGTGAAACATGCTTGGTAAGCGCGATCGCATGCAACGCACGCACGCACATGCAAACCTACGCAGGCACGCGTTTAATTCATGCACGCATTAAATTCGTCGGTTTGTAGGTCAGTGCGCGCCTGCAAACCAGTGCAAGGCAACGGCCCAGGCTCTCGGTTAATTCAGCCGGAGAGGGGCCGACAGCGTACGGTGCGGCGGTGCCGCAGGCTCGAGCCTGCCACGGCAGAGGTCCGGGCCAGGGCGCACCGTCGGCGCTGGTGGCCGCTCCGGCCCCGCCCCGCCAGCAGGTGTCAGTGACCAACACATGGCCGCCGGCGCGCGGCCAGCGCGCCGCCATCCGCCTTCCGCGTGCCGCGGACCGCGGGCCGCGCGCCGCGTGCCACGTGCCGGGCGCGCAGCGCGGTTCGTCGCGTGGATGGCGCGCGGACGCGGCCGCGCCGGAGATCGGTTAGTGTCTCATACTCGGCTGTCGCGCGCGGCTCCAGTCACAAAAAACACGGGCCGCGAGACCGGTGCCTCCGCAGCACGTCTCGGAGACTACTCACGTGACCGAACGGGCTGTTATCTCTGAGCATGCGGGCTCTACGACCACTGAGGACGGGAGCACAACAGACGGGCGGCACGGCGTCTACCTTCGTGTCGGGCCGCGCCTCGCCCTTGCGATTGGGGTTCGCCGAGCGCTTGGCCTCCTCACGGATCCGCTTGTAGCGGCGCGCCGAAGCTGAGCCGAAGTAGATGTCGTCCAGTTTGGAGCTGGAAGCTCCGACGCTAACTTCGCCACGGCTGGAGGAGGCGCCCGAGTAGCGACCACCGCGCGCGCCATCCAGCCGCGAGTACACGCCGAACGTCGGCTCGTAGTCGTTGAGCCGCAGGCGGGCCGCGACGCCGTCCGCCGGCGCCGGCACCGCCGCCGGCCTGATGATAGCTGACGCCGATTTCTGCAGCGCCAGCAGTGGGTGACGCGTGTTGAATTCCGCGCGTCGCGTGCCAAACTCGTTGTTGTTCGTCTCCAAGGCGGCGGTCTTGAGGTCGAGCGAGCTAGCGCCGTCGGACGGCACGGGCAGGTCCAGGTAGCTGCGGACAGCCGTGCCATCCGCCGCTGTTGACCCGACCACGTCATCAGTCACGGTGCCCAGCAGACGATTCCGGGCGCCGAATATTCGCCGCTTCCGTTCCTCTTTCTCCAGCAACCGTTTCTCTTCCGCTGATTTCGTTTTGTCCTCGTCGGCCGTCTTTTGCGCTTCTTCCTTGTCGAGTTCTTCTTGAAGCGTTTTCAGATCTACTTCTTCCTCTATTTTTAGTTGGTTAAGCACCTTGTCTGCCGCTGTCTCTTCGGTTTCCAGGTGTTTGAGCTTTTTTATCTTATCATCGCAGATTGTTTCGATCTTCTCGTCACCGGGAATGAGGAGTGGAATTTCTTCGTCATCATCTTCCGGCGGGATGTTTTCTTTCATCTCGGGCGTTTCCACGTCGCCCTTTTCGATCACAGCTGGTTCAGCGATCACCTCCGCCTTTTCGCCTCTTTCGATCACCTCCGCCTCATCAGCCATCTTCACATCTTTGCCTTCAACAATTTCTCCCACCCTCTTCAACTCCTCCGCCTTTTTCTCCACCTCTTCTTCGTCTAGCTTCTTCTTCGACGAGAAGGGGCTGAACAGACGATCCTTGAGCGTCATTTTCTCTCCTGCGCCGGATGTCTTCGAGCTCCTGCCGAAGAAGCTGGGCGTCTTCCGCGCGGCTGGCGTCTCGGCTGGACGGCTTAGGCTGGGGCTGAGGGCGACCAGCCGCCGCCGCAGTCGCGGACTGGGCGGCGTCGGGCTCGGCCGCTCGTCCGTCACCGACAGCCGACCACCCAGGCCCTCCGGCACCGTCTGCGTCAGGAAGCGGCTGCGGAAGCGCCGCGGCGGCTCCTTCTCTGCCTCTCTGGCGCTCACCTTCCAGCTGGCCGAGCGGGTCAGCGCGCTCCTGGGCTGATGCGGCGGCTTGCCTTCAGGCGCCGTCGCGAAGCCCAGGCTGGTGTCCGAGCCGCGGTGGTCGCCGGCGCCGTGGCCGAGCCGAAAGAAAAGGTCGGCGGGAGGCCGGTCGCGGCCTGCCTGGCCCGAGGAGCCGGCCGCCGGCTCTTCATCCCGGTGCCGGTACGAAGCCCGCAGGTCTGCGGCGCCCAGAGCACCGCTGCCGGCCACGGCGTGCCGGCCCTCGTAGTTGGTGTGCGCGTCGGAGTAGGCGTTCAGGTGGCCCGGATGGGGAGGCTCCAGCACAGCATGTTCGTACCAGCGGCCAGTGTGACCACTGTCCCTGGCCGGCCTATCACAGTGGTTGGTCTGGCGCGAGGACGGCCGCTCTTCGGTGTGATGTGCCAGTCGCGACGACGGGCGGCCGTCTTCACGGTGTGCCTGTCGCGAGCCGGGGCGCTCGTGCGGGTCATACGGCTCGTAGTGGAGGGCGAGGGCGTGAGAGGAGCGCTCGGGTCGCGGTCCGTCCTGCGTGGTTCTGGGGGCGCCGCTCGGCGAGCCGTACCTGTCGCTGTTACGTCGCGGCTGCTGCCGGCTGGCGCGTCCCTCCTCCTCGCGGTGCCGCTCCTCCGGCGGCCGACGCTTATACTTCTCCTCCCAGTGCGCCAGCTTGCTGCCGGTGGCCTCCAGGCCCAGCCGGTCCAGCTTGGCGTATTTGTACACCAGCGGATGGTAGGCGACATCCGAGCGGAAGTCGGGCCGCCGCTCGGCCGCCGACGGCGGCAGCGCCGGCGGCTGCGGCTTGTCGTCACCGTCGGCCGTCGAGATGGCCTTTACTCGCGACGTCAGCTGGTGTAGCAGGTTCAGCCCGCTCTTGAGCACGCCGCCCGAGCCGGAGTCGCCGGCGTCCGGCCGGTCGGCGCCGCGCCGCGCCTCGCTCGCCTCCATCGCACCGCCCAGAGCCGTGGTGCGTGAGCGCCCGTAGACACGTCTGGAGCGGCTCGACATGCTGGCGGCGGCGGCCGGCGCGCGCCGCTTCCACCAAGATCAACACGGGACGCACGGGGAACAATGCGACCGGCGCCGTCCGTCGCTGGCACAACCACCGCGATCGAAATAGCGCCGGTCAGCGGCGGAGGCCGGCGCGCTCGGCGGCGCCAGAGAGGCCCGCCGGCGCGACAAACGCCTGCCGGCACCGCCGCGCGCAGGCCGCCCAGGCCACGGCCGGCCGTCGGCGTCGACGAGGTACTGGCGGCAGCGCTCTTGGCCCACTCCCGGCGGTGCCAACGACGGTGGCCTGGTTGGAAGCTCGCGCGGCGGGCCCGGCGGCGGCGAAGTGCCGCCGCCGACGCACCGAGCTGAATCACCGACACTCCAAATACACCGGCGAGTTGGCGAGCGTCGGCGGACCAGCGGCGCGGCGGACGACCTCCGCCGCTGACCCAGCGTCAGCTGATGCGGCCCGCGCCGGCCCGCGAGGAGCCCGCCCCGGCCGCCGGCCGCTGGCCGGCCCGCCAGGCTAAAAATACGCCGACTCCGCGGCGGTGGGACCCACGCTGCGTGTGGAGGAGGGGAGGGACATCCTGCACCAGCTGAGCTCATCACGCCCGCGTCAACGGTAACCACTCGGCCAGCGAGCCCACCGAGGTGGTGAGGACTGTCCGCCGGTGCCGCCCGCCCCACGTGACGACACCTCGCGGCAGGGGTCTGGCGCCGGCGCGGGAGGCGAGGCGCCGAGTCAGCCGGGAGTCTCCGTGTCCGACACCGCAGCGGGCGGCTTTAGCCAGCGGGCGCAACTGCGACTGCAGCAAGCGCGACATTGTGGGACACCAGGGCCGCCTATTCGCCGTCTTCCCCACTCGCTCGTCTCGCTCCACAGTGTACAGGAGGTGTCGTTTCGGACGCGGCTGCAGATGCGTTCGGGTGGGAGACCATATAAGGCGAGCGGCACCCCACGGTCTGCTCGCAGTTGGGCACGCTCGGCTGACGACCAGTCGGGAAGTGCGATTATCAGCGACCTTGGCCGCCTCAAGGTTTGTCAATATCAGGAAACTGGGTCAGAGGTAGCCTTCGTGGTTTTTACGCAGAAGTTGTACACTACAGGTGGGTGTTGTTCAATTAGTGGTCACGCCTCCGCAGGTTTTCTAACAGTGAGACGTGTTTGCCTTCTGGTGCTTCTTAACGAGCCGATATTACGGCTCTCGCGGTTTTGGCGCCTCTCGCCCACGAGCACGATTAGTTTGCTCTTTTTGAAGCCGAGGCCGTAAACGAAACGACTATCACCGCAGCACTCGGGCAGGCACCAGCCTCACCACACGGCAGCACATCTGCTCGCTGGGAACGTGTGGTAGTCTCGGCTGCCTTCACCTTGTTTGCGGCGCGTGGCGACGCGGAGGCGCAGCGGTGCCTGCCGTGCAGGCACGCAGCGCGCCGCGCGGCAGGGTCGCCGCGGTCAGTGACCCCGCCCCACGCACGTGCGTGCGGCGGGTCCGGCCCGGCCCCACCAGAGCCGGTGCGGTCCGAGGCGAGTCGTGACGCAGGACCACGGGCACGTGTCGCCCTCCGCCGCGCCGGCGCCGGGGGATGAGTCAGCGGCGCGACGACTGACGCGCGAGGAGGGGGTAGGTCTGGTGAGATCCCCCCCCCCCGCGGGCCAAGTAGGCCACCAGGGTCGCTCGAGCGCCGCTCCAGGGGTCGAAGTGACCGGGCTCCCCTGGAAGGGCATACAGAGCCCGTCCGCGGGAGCGTTGGTCGGGTCGTCGAGCGGACGATGAATCATTGTCAACTGCCGTGAAGTGGATATGAGGGCAGGATGAAGAGCGCTCGAAACCCGGCCGGCAACATGTCCCGAGGGTGTTATCATCAGAGACGCAGCCACGGTGAGTTCGCGGTCGACGTCCGGCCGGACCAGCACCACAATGCTGGACCAGACCAGCTGGCCCGGACCAGCGTCCGTCGGCTCCCCAGGCTTGCCCAAGCGATGAATCAGAGCTGCTCGGGCGCCGCCCTAACGCGAGCCTCTCAATAAGGCAGGCAAATCGTCCTGGCCCGCGGCCCGGGCCGCCGCCGCCTTGTTCGGAGTTGGCCGGACGTCGCACGCACTCCGCGCGCCGTCGTTACGGCCGTCGTTACGACCGATTACGGCCGATTAGCGGCGCGTCCGCGATTGCCCAGCGTCCGGCGGGCGGGCGGGGCCCTCAGCCGGGGCAGGCGCCGCCCGGCCCCGCCCCGCCCCGCCGGCCGGAAGAAGGCTGCTCTGACGAGGTGGGAGCGGCCACCGCCTGTCAGCAGGCGTCACGGACGCCTGAGAGCTCGGTCAGAGCCCACCCGCGTCCGCGCGGCAGCGCTCGCCTCAGGCGAAGTGGGACAGAGCTCATTGCGCATGCAGGAGCACGTGACGGTGCGATGGCTAGAGTAGCGGTGCGTGTCCGCAAGCGCACTAGAGCTAGAGTGTAACATTTAGTGCCGCAAACGTACAACGCAGGGGCGGTTTGCAGCGCTCGTTTTCTAGAAAGTCCCGACGCACGACAGGTCTGGTGCGTGTTGCTCATGTAATGCTAAGTCCAAAACGTGCGCGTGATGCAACGGACCTGACAAAAAGAGGTCACCGTAAGCTTTCATCGCACGCACGCGGATTGTACACGGTGTGAAGCGGGCCGGTGCGCGTCTGGGGTGTACCGGAGCGTCTGCCTGACAGTGCGTCTGGCGTATGCTCCCGCGTCCGTCGGCAGTGGCCGCATGTTCCGGGCCTCAGCCGTGGGAGCCGATGGCTGGAGCTCAGTCCCACCGGCAGCGATAAGAGGGACGGGCTGGGACGCCCGTGCGGTTTTGTGGCCTCGGCGCGGTGCGGCGGGACGGACTCTCGGAATTGTTCGACCGCTTGTGCCGCAGGAGCCGGCTCGCCGCCGAGCGGCGGCTCCTGGCCGGGCAGCCGTCACACCTGGCCAGCCCGCACCCTCCTCCTGAACCCCAGCCCGCCCGGGCCGTCTCCAGCGGCCGTCACACCTGGTCAGCCCGCACCCTCCTCCTGAACCCCGGCCCGCCCGGCCCGTCGCCAGCGGCCGTCACACCTGGTCAGCCCGCACCCTCCTCCCGAACCCCGGCCCGCCCGGGCCGTCTCCAGCGGCCGTCACACCTGGTCAGCCCGCACCCTCCTCCTGAACCCCGGCCCGCCCGGCCCGTCGCCAGCGGCCGTCACACCTGGTCAGCCCGCACCCTCCTCCCGAACCCCGGCCCGCCCGGGCCGTCTCCAGCGGCCGTCACACCTGGTCAGCCCGCACCCTCATCCTGAACCCCGGCCCGCCCGGCCCGTCGCCAGCGGCCGTCACACCTGGCCAGCCCGCACCCTCCTCCCGAAGCCCCGGTGCGCCGCGCAGGTGGTGCGTCCGGACCCCGAGAGGCCTGACTTCGGGGAAGACGGCGGCCACAGCCCTTTGTCGGCCGCTGGGGCCGCTCGGCAGGTACGCCCGGCCGCTGGAGCGGCGCTCATCAGCTGTGGCGCCGGCCGCCGGCTGCACTGTCGGCAACAGCCCGATAACGGCGGCTAATACGGAAGCCGTCCGTCGCCCGGCGCCGCTGCCTGAGAGTGACCGGCCCTGTTTGGATGCCGGCATCAGATACACAGCAAAGCCGGCTTGCTCAGAAAAACCCAAGGTTAACCGGGTGCATCGGTGCCGGCCCGTGCACCGCCGGCGCCGGCTCGGCGCCCCGTACACAGGGGACACTGGCTCGGAGGCAGTCGCGGCAGAGCGCACCAGCGACGCACCAGCCGGCACGTGGCGAGAGGACACCTCGGCTGGCCGCCGGCGGCAGCACTGCTGTCCTCCTCGGGACTCCTCAGACCGCGCTCATCGTCGGGGTGGCCGCCGGTGGCCGCCAAATCCGGCTGCTGCCGTGCCTTTCGGCCCGAATCGTGACGGTTTGCAGCATTTCTTTCGGGCCGCCACACCTAGTTTGCAGCGTGCCGGAGCCTTTTAAGGCGACGGGCCTTGAGCAGCGGCAGCCGTGTCACGCGGCCCGGGAGCCCTGGCCGGATCCTCCAGCGGTCTCAGGTTCAGCTGACCGGAGACGATCGTCAGTCAACGGACGACTGAAGTCCGGGGTTCACTGCTCCTCTATTAGCTGTGATGGGAACCGGCCTGCCTTTGTTCTCCTCCGCCGTCTCTAATCCTGCAGTGGAGCGAAGGACCACCTGCAGACTAATCGCCGAGCAGGCTTTCAGTAGCCGGAGGCTCGCGACGCTTCATTCTGAAGGTTGCGTGTGGGTGACAGATCGTTGCCCGGTCCCGTTGTTCCTGTCGCTCGCGTCTGCTCCGGCTTCGAAGCACGTGAGCCAACATGGGTATTAACGATACGTTGAATCCCTGAATCTGAAGTACTTTTCGGGCGGGCGCGTGACTCCAGCCGGCTTTCCTGGTTGCCGTGCGTCAGCAGGGGAATTATGTCCGCCGCGGACGGATCACTAACACGAGCCCCCCCCCCCCCCTCCCCCAGCGCCCGACCGGTTCCGAGCTTATGGCGCGCCTCGTCGAGTCGGGTCACGACGCCCGCGGCATCCACCAACAGTCCGTCACAACGGAGAAACAGTATTATTAGAGCGGCGCCGACCGGTGCCAGAAGAGACGGACGCCGACTCCGCGCCGGAGCCGACGCGACGCTAGCGCCATCCAGCGGCGACGACGCGCAGCTGCAGCCCCGCGTCGCCGCCGACAGAGCGTCGGCGGCGACGCGGGGCGAGGCAGCGGTCAGAGACCTCGCGCCTCTCCGCCCTCGGTCGTCTGACGCCTGCGGCGGCGGCCGGCGAGCCGACAGCCAGCGCCGAAAAACCCGTCCGCAGCCAGTCGTCGTCCGTTTCACCCGGGTGAGCATCGGCCGTACCGGTTGTGGCCTGACCGTGCGCGCCCAGGTGCGTCACGACTGCCGCCACTGTGGCGTGCACCGCTGGGGCGCCGCGGCCGGCCGAGGACGCCCATTTAAACGGCCGCTCTAGTCGGCCGTTGAAAGATACGCAGCCACCGCCCAGACGCGCATACCTGACCTCACTCCCAACCCCAACGGCTGGGCGCGCCAAATAAGGCGCGGACGGGAGACAGAAGCGAGCGCGCCGCGCCCGTCCCGCCGCCGGGCCGGAACCGACGGCCCCACCAGCGCCCCCTGGACGCTGCAACGTTCGACGGCAGACCGCCGCCCTCGGCGTGCCGCCATCCTTGAGCGTCGAGATGTGGCCGTGTGCGGCGCGTCGCTGCCGCTCGGAGCCGAACGTGATCGCCATGACGACGAGCCAAACAATTGGGCGACGGTGGCGCCGAGACTGGCCCGCTGTCGCGGCCGCGCCGGCTGCGTGGCCCTCCATGCTAATGCGCGCAGCGTGCAGGGTGACCGCCGCTCCCCGCACCCGCCGGTGATACTGATCGGGCCCAGACCACACTGGAGGAGTCCCGGCGTCGCGTGACTCACGCCAGTCCTCTGCGTGAGTCAGCGAGAGTGGTGCTGTACCCCACCGGGTGCGTCTGGTGCGTCACCGAAGTGGGCCAGTCCGTCGCCGCAAGAGGAAGCTATCATTGTGGACCGCTTCAGCACGGCCAGGTAGCGCCGCATGCCTTGTGTATCGCCGTACCACGCGGACAAAGTAAGCTTACGGCTTACCATCATGTCATCTTTAGAGATATAAGCTGATAGCCATGTACTGTTTTTCTTTTTAAATCAACACATTCGGGCATTCATCTCAGGCATGCAAACACATCTACACAAACACAGCAGCATGCAATTAGCTTACTACATCCACGCATGCACGCAAACAGTACGGTATCTTTGTCGATAAACAAACATCCAAACCACTCAGAGAAGCGACCGTTCTGGTGACGCGCCCACATGTCTGCAGACAGACAAGAAACTGCATGCTCTGAGAAGAGACTGACAAGCTCGCTCGCCGGGGGCGAAGGGGCGATGACACTCAGACGGCCCGGGTGTAGGGGGAGGGGGGGGGGGTCGTCAGCCGGCCGGCGCCGCCAGAGCCCCCAGAGCGGGTTCATCAGCCGCGTGCCGGCGGAGGTCAGCCGCGCGGCCGGCCGGGCGACCGCGGCCGCCGCTGACTCAGCGCCGGCTCCAGCCGCGTCCGCGCCGGCGCACACTCACCTGGCCGTCGCAGCTGTCGCCCTTGACGCGTCGGTTGAGCTTGGGCCGGTGGCGGCGCGTGGTGGCCGACGGGCTGGAGGAGTGCCGCCGGCGGCCGGAGCGCAGCTGCTGGCGCCGCTCGACGCCGCCGGGGCGCGCGTACCGCTCCGAGCTGGGGGCCGGCGACGGCGCGGTCAGGCGCAGCCGGCGCAGGCACAACAACACCAGCATGGCCGCCGGCGGTCGCCGCGACGACACATGTGCACATAGCTGAGCGGTGGCCGGTCGAGCCCGGCTGGTCCGGACCGCGGCCGGCCGTCGCACATGCTCGGACAAGTGGCCGATCAGTGCCGCCGCCGGTGACCGGGCCGCTCGCGTGAGCGGCAGTGGCCGCCACACAGACGTCGCCCGGCACATGTGGCGTCATTATGCCTAACTAGTAGGTCGTACACCTCGTTACCATCACTCCGCGCGCCCGAAGGTGCTCTGAAAGTCATTGGCACGGTACGTGACGACAATGGCAGCTGCGCTTGGTCCGGCTGCCTGGTGGTAGCTAGCAGCGAGCAGCGAGCCGGCGGCGGTGACTCGCAGCGAACAGCGAGCCGGCGGCGGTGACTCGCAGCGAGCAGCGAGCCGGCGGCGTGAGTCGGCGGATGGACGGCGCAGATGCTGCCGGACGGCGGCCAACGGGTCGGCCTCCTCCTGCGGGTCGACCTTCGATTTCGCGCCCCATCGCCGGACGGCGGCTCGGAGGTCGGGCGCCGCCACCACCGCGCGACGCGCCGCCTCCTCGTGCCGCATCGAATCGCCCAGCGAGACGATGTGAGCGTGACATCGCCGTTCGGCTCCGAGGTCCCGCCGGCCGAATACGGCAGGTGCCACCTCGTGCAGGGCGCCGCGTGCGAGGCGCGCTGAGCCAGGGAGCGCGAGATCAGAGCGAGCCAGCGCCGTGCGCCTCCCGTCGGCAGCCTACGCCCAGTCTGTACAGAACGCCCCAGCCCGAGCCTGATACCGTCGTCTCTCAGCTAGCCAGGCGCCACCGAAACCAGGCGCGGCCGGTCGGCGGACCTTGACACCGATCGCCATTGTTTGCAATCCTTATCGGGACAGGTACGGCGCTGCGCCGATGGGCCCATGGCATGGCCGGACCCGCCTTGACTTTGACACAGATGATGGCGCCGGGCCTAACAGAGGTGATGCAGTCCGACTTCCGGGCCTTCACATGGTCTGCTGCAGAAATGGAGCTCTCTGGAAGCGCGATAACAGCAACGAAAGTTGCAGGAATCCGGGGATGACGGCCAAAGATGAAAGGCTTCGTTGAGTCATGAATGTGCTCCCATGAGCAATGAAGAGGTTTCAGCGAGCCATGCACCTTAAAACCCAGTTAACAATGTGATGAATATTCAATTCGTCTGGTCAAGCAAATCCACCGCATTTCTCTACCTCGTAAAACCGAACCGGTAAGGTAACGTGAGTTGGTAAGCCTGCGTAAGCGTCACCGAACGATACCCAGAAGTCATCGACGTCATTGGGGTCAGCAAGCCCACGTGATCCAAGCATGAGCAATCTCCGGCGACCCGACCTCAGTGCACGAGTCGTGCACCTCAGTGCACGAGTGGCAAACATATTGTCGAACAAGCTACACATTAAGGACACCCTGCCCGCCGAATTCACGGAAATAACTGGAAAGACGATGACATCATGTTGTTTAGGACTTTCCGTTCATACCATTACAGAGCAATGAGTCAATCTCCGGCCTGGAGCTGCCATGAACAAAGACCTGATCTAAAGGCTCCGATGCCCCGGAGACTGTCCAATGTGCCAAAACATCCGCTGGGTCCCCGCATGCCGGCGCCGGCCACGCCAGCCGCGGAGAGCGACTGCTGTCAGCTCGTCACGTGCCGCCAGTCCGACCGGCGCCCCCCCCCCCCCCCTGCCACAGTCACCAGTCAGTCGCCGCAGCACAGGGCACTCGTGTCCATCGGGCTGGTGGTGGCTAACGGCGCAGCTTTGCCAGCTGTTGAGCAATGCCCCACCTCCAAGCGGGCCCCACTGGATCAAGGCTGTCAAGCGCGAGCGCGCTGGCACCCCCTCCCCTTCTCCATGCACGACTGGGGTCACTGGCGGTTTCATAAGAGGCGCTGTGGACTGCACCAGTTTGATGTGACGCCCTCTGGACTGTTCCAGTCTCACCTGACGCCCTCTGGACTGTTCCAGTCTCACCTGACGCCCTCTGGACTGTCACAGTCTCACCTGACGCGCTCTGGACTGTCACAGTCTCACCTGACGCCCTCTGGACTGTCCAGTCTCACTGTCCCCCTCTGGGCTGTGTCCAGTCTCACCTGACGCCCTCTGGACTGTCACAGTCTCACCTGACGCCCTCTGGACTGTTCCAGTCTCACCTGACGCCCTCTGGACTGTCACAGTCTCACCTGACGCCCTCTGGACTGTTCCAGTCTCACCTGTCGCCCTCTGGGCTGTTCCAGTCTCACCTGACGCCCTCTGGACTGTTCCAGTCTCACCTGACGCCCTCTGAACTGTCCCAGTCTCACCTGACGCCCTTGGACTGTTCCAGTCTCACCTGAGGCCCTCTGGACTGTTCCAGCCTCACCTGATGCCCTCTGGACTGTCCCATTCTCATCTGTCGCCCTCTGGACTGTTCCAGTCTCACCTGACGCCCTCTGGACTGTTCCAGTCTCACCTGACGCCCTCCAGACTTCTCTAGTCTCACCTGACGCCCTCTGGACTGTCCCAGTGTGGCCCGACGCGCTCCGCACCAGCAGTGTAGCCCAGCAGAATGGGCGAGAAGCGCCCTAGCCGCACACAGCACAGCACCATCACCATGTTGCGGGCGCGCCGCGCCGCGACTGCTCGACCGGACGGCAGACACACGCATCCGGCCATAGGCCGCCTGACGAGCAGCAGCAGCGTCTATCGCAGCTGAGGCGCCTGCTTCCGGACTCAGCCGTGGTGTGCGGGCTGTGGGGACAGTCCGCACACGCCCCCTTCTCGGAGCCCGGCCTACGTAGTCTTGCCAGCGCGCCGGCGCGGGAACGGCGCGACGTGAGGCCTCGGCCCGAACGCGGCGACCATGCGTAACCGCTCACACGCATTGGACAGACCTGTGTCCGCCGAAGTAGGCTGAGGACCACGCGACGAGACCAGCCACGGACACAGGTGTGGGAAGGGAGATGGGCGAAACTGAGCATGGCTCTCTCCTGGCACCGGATTTTCCAGGAACGTACAGATGCAGCATATGTCGTGACTCAGGGCTGAGCCAGGCACTAAGCCCCCGTTAATGTCCGGCATATTTTCCCTGAGTTGGCGCTACCAGGAACATAAAGATGCGAAGCAGCACAAAGGTGGGGAGGGCTTGCAGACCCGGGCGCGATCGCCTCGATGAGCTGCCACCGAACCGCTATCCAGTGAAAAGTCTTGCAGTCGATCGCAGGGGCCGTGTAAGCCGAGCCAATAAAGTGCCGGCGATTTTTTCTCCGCCCAAAGGACGATCAGTTCACGGGACATTAAGTTCCCTATTCACCTCGTATCAGATCACGGCTTGAGTTCCATACTGGGGTCTAGCCGAAAAGTTGACCGCCGCGATACAGCTCGCGACGCTAACGGTGCCGCTTTAAATGGCGGCCGGCTCGGCGGCACGCTAGCTTCGATGCCGTCCTTGACGGCGCAGCGGCGGTGATTCACAGCGTCCTGCAGGCGTTGCGACGGCGCACGCGTTAGCGCTGTGCGGCTGCCATGCTCGTGACCCGTGTTTGTATCAGGGCGCGCGTCGTCAGCGCCGGTTCTCATCGGTATCTCGGGGAGGGGGGATTCACGGGACTTGGGCTCTGACGGACGCAGGCCGACCGACCTCAAAGGGTCCGGCCGGCCGACCTCACAGGGTCCGGCCGGCCGGGAGGAGTCGGGGCAGACGTGCCGGGGTTCAGTGGCGGCCTGCCCCGCCGGCTGGAGCCCGAACGGTGCCTGACGCGGTCGGCGCTGCAGTCAAGGCCGCCGGACCGGTCCCTGCCCACTCCCCCTCCCCTGCTCCTCATCCCCACCCCGCTCCCCCAACCGGCCCGGTTGGCCGCCAGTCAGTCCCTGCAATAACTCCACCACATGGGTCTGCAGCAAACAAAGCCACAAAGCCGGCAACGTGGCGCCATGTGCTCCACTCTAGGGCAGCCATAATCCTGCAGGGTTTGTCAGACCGAGGGCCGACCTGGCTCCACTCTTGGGCTGCTGCAATCCTGTAGGGTTTGTCAGACCGAGGGCCGACCGGGCTCCACTCTTGGGCTGCTGTAATCCTGCAGGGTTCATCATACCGATGGTCGCCCGGCCGCGCCACCCCACACTCCTGAGGGGTGCCAAGAGCCCTTCCCTGGGTGCCGAAAGGCCTCGCCTCTGAGGACGCCCGCGGCCGGGGATGAAGCCCTTGAAACTCCGAGACTGCGTCCGATCGTCTTCCGGTCCGGGTGCGGGCCGGGCTGTCGGGCAGGGGGCTGGGCGTATGTGACCACCTGTTGCTGCTGAAGGAAGGCCAGCGGCGGCACTGGCTCATTGCCCCATCGGCAACCGCCAAACTGCCGCTTCTCTGCATTGCCCTCTCATCGTCCAGCGAGTCAGGAATGTCGGAACGAGACCCTGGTGGGCTGTACTTTTTATGCAGACTTTCGAGACAGGAATTTATTTGCAGCCTCATAATTAAAACAATCCTCAGGAATGTCTTTTGTTCGGGGTCAGCTTAAGAATCGTGTTGATGTACTTGACTGTCTTCGGTTGCGCGCTTTGAGGTACACAAAGTCGTTCGCCCGAAGGCCGGACCTGACTTCGATCGCATCTCCAAAGCCAAGCCGCCTTTGATCCCAAATACGCATGTATTATAGATTTCATCTCGGCGCGTCATTCGGAGCGACTCCGCGCCGGGTCGCATACCGCGGGGGGCGACGCAGCTGCGCTCTGTTCTCCAGCTCTGGGTCAGCGGTCCAGTGGAGCGGGCTCGGACACCGCCCGTCTCGCCCTGACACCCGCGCCCGCTCGGCTGCTCCTTGTCTTCGTATAAGGAGTGGCCTGCGTGGGTCCGCCTCGGGCGCCGGCCTGCGCTCCTGTTGCCAGGGAGTCCGACCGTCCGGCGGCGTGGGAGAGAGACAGGCCCGCAGTGGCGTGCCGTCGTGG